ATCATAGTTCTTAAATTGACGCAGCTGATGCCTTTTACTGTCATTGTATATCTTCATGTTTCAATACTTTATTTCACAACCTACTTATCATTTAGGATTTTAATGAGACCGGTAAGAAAATTGCTTTTATTATCATAAACAGAGCAAGCCAATTTTAAATATTTACATTAAAAATTAATGAAAGCAAATACGGTAGTCATCACTTAGCTTCCAGATTCGAAAATAGCTCCAATGAGAGATCCAGAGTTCAATTTGGCAACTATTAATGGGAGATGCTTTGCTTACAAAGTAATACACTACTGATGTTGCAGACATACAGCAGACTGGCATTAGACGATAGACTGAACATCCCAGTGACTCCCCTTGTTCATGCTTGTAGAATGCTTTTTTCATGTGAACCTCCTAAAACATGAGAATGAGATTCAGCACTTCTAACTACCAAAGTTGTGGGCACCATTTTTCATCTAAAATACTAAAATTAATGTGGGCAAAGACAACTTGGATATTCAATTTTTCTGAATGGATTGAGAATGGAATCAAAAGAAAGAAACTTAAAATAACAAATGATATTAAGTACTGAAATACAGGATCAATAGTGAGATTAAGCATAAAGTTTATAAGTATCAATTTCTTCTGATGTCATGATGTGACCATATGCTTGTTAAAATCTGTAAGAGGACAACCTGACTCACAGCATTTGTCAGTCCCCATTGTTTTTAGCTATCCAGACTTCAGAAGCTAATACAGAGACAGAATTTTGGAAGAACATACCCCATCATCATGTCAGAAAGCTATATAGTGCGTTGCCTCAGGAAAAATCAGGACAATGTTGATTCAGCTATTATAGCTTTGCATTACAAACTGATGTCAGACAGTACAAGTAGTTCAGCTCTAGAGTAACTCAGCATATGAAAGGCCAAGTTGATCAGCTATGAAAAACACACAAGTAACATCATATTGGAGGTAAGCAGGTATGAATTGCTTTCATCCTCAAAACAATAATAAAAGAAGGAGTGTTTTTCTGTTGGAGGAAGGCCATTTGTTGGTTCCTGGCCACCTGGCTAGCTTAGACCCAAAATAATTACACAGAAACTGTATTAATTAAATCAGTGCTTGACCCTTTAGCTCTAGCTTCTTATTGGCTAATTCATATTACTTTAATGCATTTCTATTAATCTGTATATTGGCATGTGGCTGTAGCTTACCAGGTAAAGTCCCCAGTCTCTGTCTCTGGCAGCTCTGTGTGACAACCCTTCTTTCTCCCAGCATTCAGTTTAGTTTTCCCCACATAGCTAAATTTTGCCCTACTATAGGTCCAAAGCAGTTTTTTTTATTCATTAATGGTAATCACAATACAGAGGTAAATCTCAAATCACTTTTTACCACTTTTATTCAATATAGTGCTAGAATATCCTAAATGAAGAAATTATGTAGAGAAGAAATAACTCACTTCCAACTTGTCTTTGTTAGCATAATCTTATATATGAACCCTAACAATTACCAAACAAGCTGATAAATGCATGATCTAAAAAAATATAACATATCAAAAATGTTCCATGGAGGCTGCTTGATGGTTCTTGGCTGCTCAGCCTCCAAAAATATTCACACAAAAACTATATTAATTAAGTTACTGCATGGCCCATTAGCTCTAGCTTCTTATTGGCTAACTCATATTAATTTAACCCATTTCTATTAATCTGTGTATGGCCATGTGGCTGTGGCTTACCAGCTAAAGTTCTAGCATCTATTGCCATTGTGGCTACATGGCATCTTTCCTGACTCTGTTCTACTTTCTCTCATGCTATTGGTCAAACCAGTTCTTTATTCATTAATCAATAAAAGCAACACATACACAGAAGGATCTCCTATATCATTTCCCATTTTCTGTTTAAACAAAAAGGAGGCTTTAACTTTAACAAAGTAAAATTGTAAATAGCAAAATAGTTATTAAGAAAGAATTACAGTTACAATATTTATAAATATTTTATCTTTTATCATAACTAAGGAAAACTGTTACAATAATTATAAATTCTTCAACTCCATCAAAGATTCCAGAAAGATATAATATTACCTAAGTAAACAGGAAGTGCCTTATAAACAACTTCCAAAATTCTAGAATTGACAAAGACATCTTGCTGCCTGGACAGTCACCCAAAGTTCTTCTGTACCATTGGGGCATCCAATCTTCAGTCTACAGGCTTATAGTATCCAGCAGACTTTTCCAAGAAGTGGAAATTTCAAAGACAGTTCCCCCCTATATTGGCAGTTTGTCAGTAACTTTTTTCTGTGTCCTGAATGTGTCTGGTAGATTCATTCATGAAGCAGGAACCCCTGAGGCCTTCCTCACCTTTAAGAAAATCCAGCAGTCATTTTTCTGTAGGTCCCACATGTCCAGTCAGGCAGTCCAGGCAAGAGCAGTTTCTTGCACAAATGGCTAACCAAATCAATAAGAAGCCTCTTCAAAGCCCATCTTCCTCTTGAAGTAGCTTGTGCTGCCAGGAGCAGATGTGTCTCATTGTCATTAAAAGTCCTAAGTTATTAAAACATTTTTTTGAAACTAAATAACAAGGAATTTGTTTTAATAGTTTTTATGTAAAATGACTTCAGAATTTTAAAAATACTCTTTTTTTTACATATATTATATGGTGACTGCAGTTTTCACTCCCTCCCCAGGTTCTTTTCCCACCTCCCTTCCCTCCCTTACCAATATTCTTGGTCTCCCCGTAGAAAAGAGCAGACCTCCCAGAGGCATCAATGAAACATGGTATATGCCATATTCTGAAGGTCTCTGAAAAATTTGAAGAACACCTATCTATCTGAAATATATCTATATAAATCTAGAAAATCAAATTGACATGACTAAAAATTATCTATTATAGATGAGTATCTATTAACTTATTTTTCTTAATTATACATTACATTTTTAAATGAGCTACACAAACACAATACCTAAATTAAGATCAGAAATACATGTACATATAACAAAATTGACCTTAAATTTGTATCAATAAACTGTGATCCATACCAATGCAAATTATCCATCTCTATAGTATATCCCTCTTTAAATGTAAAGAAGTATTTACACACAATATTTGGGAATATGGGCTTAGTTCTATCCAAACTGCTTCCTGCTGTTTATTGGGTGAAGTATTTTCTTCATGGGGGTGTTCTTCAGGGGTTCTTGTTCCATCAAACCATACTGGTCTGGAAGCAATCCACAGGTTCTCATCTTCTATGGAAACAAGAGAACCTCCTTTCCAAAGCAACATATCCTTAGATCCAAATTTGGAAGTCATGATACCTTTAGAATATATATATGCTGGTTTAGCTTAGTAGCCTATACAATGAAATGTTTCTCTTTATTTAGCTCCTTTACAGTCAAAAATTCAAATAAAAACACAATAATATACATAATCCAGACTTTTTGTGTATATTGCATCTTTATATGGCTTGTTTTTACTCTCATACTTTTAATATTTATTTTATTATCATTACTCCTTTAATCTATGACTGTCTGTACTGTGTCTCTTTAAAGACTTTACTCATTTTAAAAGCCATTTGCTTCTTTTCAAACTCTCTATACTCTTTTTTCTTCTCTCTTTCAAGACTACATCCATTTATCCAAAACTGTGACCCATTTAGATGTCTTTTATGTCTGAATCTGTTCTACTGTGTATCTGTAAATTTTTCTGTCCAGGAACACTTCTTAAAATGTTAAGTGCTTCTTAAAAACTTAAGCTGCATCATTCCTTCTGGGAAATACCGCATTTCCTGCTTGCCCAGCCCAGTCCAGCATGGCAGAGCCACATGTTGCCTCTGAGAGCTGCCATGCACACCACCCCACTTCCAAGCACACAGCTGGTTCATGTTGCCACCAACAAGCCACAGCACATTGCTCACAAACCCTATCCAAATGTCCAGTCTTCTGAAAGAGCCAGAGACTGCACTAGCAGCATGGCCCAGAAAGCCAGAGTTTTAAAATGACATGGCTTTTTTTTTTTTTTTTTTTTTTTTTTTTTTTTTTTTTTTTGCTACAGCTGAGTCAGGAAAACCCTTTACAGGAGCAGTGGCATGCCATCAGCAAACAGCAAGAAACTATGTTAAACTTTGTGTTTTTGTGTCTAAAATTATGTTTTCCCGGGTTTTTAAGTGGATTTTAGCATGTTGGTGCCAGTTTATTGCATGGAGGCTGCTTGTTGTTTCCCAGTTGTTCAGCCTTTAAAAATAATCATGCAGAAACTGTATTAATTAAATCACTGCTTGGCCCATAAATTTTAGCTTCTTATTGGCTAATTCTTATATTAATTTAACCCATTTCTATTATTTTGTGTATGTCCATATTGCTGTGGCTTACTGGCTAAAGTTCTGGTGTCTGTCCCAGATTGGGCTACATGGCATCTCTCCTGACTCTGTGGTAGCAGATACAATAATCAAGCAAACAATCCATAAATATCAAAAGATAAAGAAGTTAAGATATGTAGTAAATAATAAACCAAGGAGAGAAAATATCTCCATACACACAAAAAAAACAATTAATTGATTGAAGAATAAATGTATATCCTTTACTCTTTTAGTGGAAGAATATTCTTAATTAAAAGACTCAATCTACCTAAAGTTGTATATAGATTCAGTATAAACACTACCAATGTAACAATAAAATTTTTTAAAAAAATGTATAAGCTTGTCTGAAACAATCAATGGAAGTCTCCAGAGAGACAAAGCAATCTTGAGGAAAACAAAAATGCCATTAAAAGAAAATACACTCTTTAAAATGTCCTTCACAGATAAAGAACACTCATCAGTTCTCCTCCGTTTTGTCACTCTTACAGGGTATCTGGCATGCTTTATTTTGTGTAATTTCACTTTGAAATGTTCTTTTTTTCTGAACAACCGAGAACACACTATCAATATGTTTCACATCATTGCTTCATGTCTAATTCTTGTATCACAATGAGTCTTAGTAATAGTCATCCTCATTGTCCAGGTTGCTTCCTTTGTAGATGTACCCTCTAGTCCTCATGGAGTGAAGATTGTAGACCTGTCTCAGACTACAGCCAAGATCTTGTTCAACAAACCTGACTCCCACGGTGGTGTGCCTATTCATCACTATCAAGTGGATGTCAAAGAAATGGCATCAGAAACCTGGAAAATAGTACGCTCCCATGGAGTTCAAAGTAAGTTACTTATTCAATATGTGTTAATTCATGAACTCTGATATTTAATATTCCTCTATGATTTATTTCTCTTTTTTCTTTCTTTGCACTGGGGTTAGGAAATCATAGTAATTTCCTTATCTTACTTATAAATAACTTTTAATATATAGCTAAATATTTTGCTTTATTTTTTTTAAGAGTGAAGTTTTTGTCTTAAAGTTCTGTCATCAAATACAGTTTTTTATGTGTCATGATAGCTACTTTCCATTGTATTATATTCTGTTATTTAAGCTGTCTACTTTAATAAGAATAAAATAACTAAATTGAATTGTTAAAATCATATTCTAGGAGAAAATTTAATTTTATTCCTTCATGAAAAGACAATTACTGACATGTTGTGTATGGAAGGTGAATATTCTTAAATGTGTCTTTAGATTTATTTATTCACATTTCCATAAATAGTTGTGAATGTGATATTACAACAGCTACCTGACACAGGCACTTATAAAACTGTCTATGTAAGTTCATGAATCTATTAAGTTTGTCTTCAGCTTGTGTTTTGAAAATACACAATTAAAATTGAAGTTTTTATTTAAAGTTGTGTCATTGAAGTAATTGAATTGTATATTTCTGAAAAGTTAAAATCATGTATATTATTCTTCTTAGTAATGGGAAATTCTGTTGTGATTTGAAAAGTGTCTTAATTTTTCATTATTTTCCAAATTACAGTAGGAAATAATAAGAAATTACGAATTTGTGAGTATGCAGGTTAGATTAACCTGTAATAAAAGTATGAACGTGTGAGGACTGTGTAGTTTCCTTGTCAGATATTCAAGTCAATCTTAACCCTTTCAAGGTGTGCAAGTATAATGATGGGACTACACTGAGACAACAAGAGGGAGCAGATCACAGTACAGGAAGAAAATGAAATTATTTATTTTTTGCCAGACTACAGTAACATGATATCTTACAATAAAAGTATCAAAGGTTTCATAGAGTCAACTATTGATAATTTACTTCATGCTTTGTATAACATTTCAAGTAGGTGATTTAATATTGCTCCTATAATTTTGGTGTGTTATTAGCTTAATAAGTAAGATGGGAATTTCATTGTATTTCTCCTATTGAGACATGCGTCAAATTCTATACATTGTATCCCACCTCTAAATTACATAGGGACAGTCAAGGTTGCTTGAAGCACAGCTCATGCCAAATTTAGTGGTGTTTTTTGCTGCCGTCATAGATCAAACCTGATAGATAAAACATTTTATCACTTGGCAAATGGGGGTTCGTTTTTTTTCCCAAATCACAAATACATCCATCAAAATATTTTATTTATTTATTTCAATATTCAATGTCCAATAGTCATTACCTAGATGAAGCAAGAGTCCCAAGACATCCTCTGAGAGCCAGCAATTCACAGATTATAAAGAATATCCTGAGGATAGTTTGACAGTTGATTGTCCTCAGCCAAGTTTGTAGTGATATTTTCTTACAGATAATCCAAGACATCTGTCCTACAGTCTTTTTTGAAATATTCTTGCTCCTTATTTTACTCAAATTCAGTTTTCTGTGGGAAGATCATGACGAGTCATGCATCCTTGTGAGGCTATAGCTGCTTATAACAATTGCTGACAATATTCTATTCAACTAGGAAACCTGAGGCCTCTGCGCTGAAGTATTCCTCTATAACTACCATTATATCATATTTAGTTTTTTCTTGTTATAAGGATCAACAGGGTTTAGGCATAAATATAACCAAATATAAATGGGCTCAAAGACCAGCGTCTTTCCTTAATTTTCCCAGTTTTGAGTTTCTGTCAATAATGTAAAAGATTTAGCCTATGAAATCATTTAAAAAACACAGAAATACTTTGTGCTTTTCTTTGAAAGTTTCTTTTTCCTCATTGTCTTTTCATTCATTTATTTATGAATGTTTAGTTGATACACTGTTTTTTATATTTGTAAATTGTTACATAATTTATATTGTTTATATCTATTTATAACTATTTGTATCTAATTACTGACTTCTCTGTTCAGGAATAAAACAGGCCTTGCTTGATTTTACTTTTGTAGAGCAGGGAAATGTCACCATGCAATTACTTTCATGCTTTAGTTTATGGTCTTAACTAAGCCACTAATTACCCATGAGTCCCACCAACTGAGTTATCACCTGATCCACAACTTTGCATACAATGTAGATAGAACCATCATATTTTTCCTCAGTATTTTTCTGGAATGTTACCATGCCAGCCATTGAGATGACAATCAACTAACTTTTAAAATATATTGACTTGTAAACAACTTGTGTATACATAGTGTAACTTCTAAAAAAAATGTGAAAATTTTTTTCCTGTAGGAAACATGTGACAAATGTTTCTAAATATTTCTGTTGGAGTTTTTTCCCACGGAATTTGACATGTTCATTAATGTCATCTTTGTTCAACTCTTGTTTGGGTGGTCGTGCTTATTGCTGTTCTATTAGCAGTAGCAAGAGAATGGAAACTTCCTAAATGTCTGACAACCAAGGAATAGATAATAGAGCGTGTGACACTTACACGGTCTAAAATACCATTCAGATACAATGAAAACTGAAATCATGAGCTTCACATGTAAATATATGGAACCAGACAAGGAAGACTTTTAAAATTTCAAAATAACAAACGTATGGAAACTTAAAGTTTCACTTCACAATTTAGGTAATTTTCACTGTTTTATAATCTCTGCTTTAGTAGTTTCTTATCAGATATGATGGGAAACAAATTAGTTATGGGTGGCAGGAAAAAGGATGGAACTAGACAACATTATTTTGAGTGAGGTAACCTAGACATAGAAAGACAATTTTCACATGTACTCCTTCATAGTTAATTTTTAAGCATAAAACAAAACCAGCCTACAAACCACAATCCCAGAGAACTTAGACAACAATGAGGACCCTAAGAGTGACTTACATAGATCTAATCTACATAGGAAGTAGAAAGGAGAAAAAGGCAAGATCTCCTGAGTAAATTGGGAGCCTGGGAAACTTGGGGAAGGGATGAAGGGGGAGGGGAGAGGCAGGGAGGGGAGCAGAGAAAAAATTAGATCTCAACAAAAATTAATAAAAAGGAAAATGAAATAAAATAGAAAAGAAACTTAATTCAAAATATTTTATTAACTCTGTTGATTTTATAAACTATATTTTTGAAATTTTTCAACCCTAACCTTTTCAAAATTTACCCTACCTCCTACATCTCAATTTGGAGTTCTCATTTTATTATATAGTTATTTTATTGCACATCAATGCCAATTTGTTCTCTGGATATATTTCTGGGTAGAAGTGAGAACTACCTACCAGTGGAAACACCTTAACAGAAAACCGACTTCCATCCCCCAGGAGTCATCAATTATGCATCGTTCTCTGTTTATAGTATGAGTTCATGAACTCCTCCCATTCTATACTGTGAAGATGAATTGTGAATGTTTTAGACTAGTACCCAAAGAAGCGTCGTCATATAGGTATCATTTCTTCATGATTGTGATTGTCCTTGTTATCCAGAAGACATATTTCTCTCAGATCCTCCCCTATGTCTGACTCTTCTGGTCTTCTGACTTATACCCTTGGGGCCAGCAATGATGTAGTTTTTCTATTAATGGCTAAGAATTCTGCAATCACATATTTTCTGAACTTTGACCAGTTATGACTTCCTATATTACCTACCCCTTACTATGCAAAATCTCCACCAATTATTTCTGAGATCTGGACTAATCTAGGGAGTAGAGATGAATTTAGGGGTCACTTTGATTCTACTGTCCTCTAACAAAGTCATAGTGAGTTTCATACCATAAATGCTTGCCCACACTTGCTGTACCAGGCATGCTTTCTCCTATGGAGTACTAAATAAAATAGCAGTTGGCTTACCTTCTTGTTATTCTTTAATTGATGGGGGTTACACAGATAATAATGAACATTATTTGGGGACTTCTTTTGAAGTTGAAAATGTATTATGAGATTAGAATGTTATTGTTGGTGCCTAGGTGTCCTAAAATACATAAAAACTTTTTTGACTTTATTTAAATATGTACATAGATATATAAACAGATTACAGGCAGAAAGCATATTTTGTTCTATTTAATCACTATATTATTGAATAAAGTTAAAATTTTAATATACTAATCATCAAGTACCTATAAGTAATGCTAAAATCAGTAAGAGTACAAGGTGCAATTTTTAAATCATATTAAATTACTTAAATATAATGTGTGTATGTTTGTTCACATTTGGTATTTATTTGTTTTAGCCTGACTCATATATATTCATACACGAAGTATAATCTCCTCTTTCTTTTGTTGTTTTAGTCTCATTGACATGTGATTTGATTGTCTGACAAGCTTAAGTATATTATATATAGGTGCAACTAATATATGTGAATATCTCTATGAAGTTCATATGATTGTACTCAGGAAAATATGAATTTTAGTGGTCCAAGACTTCAGGAATATTACACTGTCCCATTTCTGTTTCCCAGAACAATAACTCTCAGTTCTTATTAAAACTTCCCTAAATTTCTTGCTATTCAAAAGGTTACTATTCTCCCTGAAAAGTTTAAATATTGTGATCTGTGAGGCTCAAAAAAATTGGATTTCCAGATAGTTTTTCTCAGTGTAGGGATTTGCCCTCATGTTCTTTTAGATGCAAACAACTTTAAAACAGCGAGGTTTTCAATAGAAAACACCTGTTCTGTGGCTGTTCAGCAGACATCAAGTATTCAAATTTCTTGATAAATAGAAAATGAATTATGTAACAGAAGTAGGTTGTACTTGCCCTTGTCATTAAGCAGGTGGTTAGTGCCATTATTTGCATTTTCATAGGCTTGATAAACATTTTCCTCTTCTAGATACAGGAGGAAATCATCACACATTTGCCTTTGGATACCAATTAGTATTAGTAATTTATTCTACTTTGCATTTTATTAAGCTCCACTAAACACAAGTGAATTTCATGAAGGAGAATTTGAATCTTTTTATATCTGCATTATAAA